TTGCTCTCCAACAACTTTTTCCGTACAAATCTTCTTATTCTTTTAAAAATTTGGAGCGTCATAAAATCTCCTTCTTTAATGATGGGCGCCTCAAACTTGGCCATTTTGATATTTTCGATGCGCTCTTTCCATTTCCGGCATTCTTTAAGTTATAGCCCATAATTTTATGAAAAATAGGTCACGTGATGGCTTAGCTGCAAAGGGCCTATTAATGTATGGGGTTATATGGAAGGTGCTCCAAACAAAATTCCTCCAAGTACTGGAACCAAATGTCTCTTACTTGAAAAGAGGTCTGGGTCCAATAAAAGAAGATGGCGGATCAAGATGGCGCATGAAGGTGCATGTGCAAAGAAGTTGATAATCTGACCTTTCACAGTTTTATCGCAGTAACTTCACTTTATTCAGGTTGCGGGAATGGTGTTACTAGAAATACCCTCAGCACGAGCCTTCCAAGCAATTCGTTCCGTAAGCGTCAGTGAACTGTCGAGTCTGAGGGAGGAAGATTTGAGGCCGTTACTGCCATGTCTGGTTCGAATGGCGCTTTGTTCGCCAGTAGACGAAAGTGCAAAATGGACAGAAGCACGTAAGGAAGTACAGAAACTCTTGTCTGGTTTAGAAGTTGTAAATTCAATTGTTGCTCTTTTGTCCGTGGATTTTAGCCTCCTCGAGCAAGACGCGTTGAAAGAACAGCAATTGAGGAGAAAGGTTGGCGGTAGTGCAACCTCTAGTGTTCTTGTTGAATCCTTGCAAAATGGTCTTGCTTTGGAGTTTGAGCGCAGTGAGCCCTCAAGGCGCCTTAGGCTGGTTCTGAGTGAGCTCCTTCGTATTATGAGCCAGGTGAGTCGTAGGGGCAATGAATGCGCTACTGTGATGTGTGATTAATGGCATGCCTCTGTGAGCCGTTTGGGAATTGCTATGCAACAATGAAGAGCGCTACTTTCAGGAAACTGCTCCAGTCTTACATCTGTTCATGTTTAATTCTCAGGTTGATGTTAGAGAAGAGTTCATTCCTGAGAAATGTGAACTGTTTGAGAGTGAAGTTTACCTAGAAGAGGTTTCAGACGTGATCTGTATCGCCCAGGCAGAGCTGCCATCACTTCTTGCACTGAACCAGCTTGCTGAAGCCTTGCTTCGAGTCAAACATGGCCCATGGCTACTTTGCCAACTGGTGGCCAATGCACCTGATAGCTTTGAACAAGGTGAGGGCTATATATATCATGTTTAACTTAAGTTGAAATGTAGTCCTGCTAGTAGATATCCTGGAGAGATTACTGAGGTGTTTGACTGTTGATAGAGGTACTTGTGCAGTGTATCGTGGGAATTGTGTAATTGTAAGTACTCTGAACTCCAGACCCAGAGCATGGGAGTAGCCAGGATTTTTCAAGNGGTCACACTGTGTCAAAGTGAGGGTACTTACCAGATTGTCATGTCATTTTTGCCACCTGTTGTAGGTTGTTTGCTTAAAAAAGGCTTACAAAAGGGGGGTCATAGGCACCCCAGGACTCCCCTAGCTACGCCCCTGCAGTGGTCCAGGTTGGAGCCATGCCTGAGTTCGTTTTGTTACCTCCTTGGGCTAGTAGTTTTGGACACTTAATTCTCACAGTGCCCCTCTCCACGCAGGTGTAGAAATGGGTACCATTGAATTAAACACTGGTGGTAACCCTGATGGACTAGTATCCCCCAGGAGGGTACTTCCTTATATGGGCTATATAGGTATGTGGGACCCCAAAGGGTAGGGTTTTTCAGCCATTTTGGTCATAAAAAGGGTATTGATTTTGGCCATTTTGGTCTTAAATAGGGTATGGTTTTAGCACTCCAGTCTTGGGTATGTTTCTTAGAAGAAGCTACTTTTTCGTCATTATCAATATGACTATCAAGAAAAGCCCTTCATAACTTATGTTTAGGGCAACTGTGCCAGCTGCAACCATCATAAACAGGGTATCAAATTTTTGGCAAGGTCATAAAAAGGGTGGCGTAAATCACAAATTTTGGTCATAAATAGGATAAGGGTTTTGGGAAGTGGGCCACACACCCCCACCTAACTTTTCTGGGAGTACCTACCCTGGGTAGCATCCCATCTAGCTGGAGAAGAATACTTTTAGTATGGTCACTTCAAGGTACCAANATCAAGACCACTAAATTGCCTCGAGACAGACTTGCTTAACCTTTAGGTAAACGTTGGAATAGATATTATTTGAAATTTCAGCCTGAAAGCTAAGTATTAATAAACGCCGCAGGTAATGGCAGTCGCAGCGCGATACTTTGAATTCGACAAAGCTCAACTCGACAAATTGCTGATTACAGGGGACCCCTCCCTGATGTTCTTAATTGTCAAAGTGGCACGTGACCGGACCCAACCAGGGTCTCTCCTCGCTCGCTCCAGGGGGTGGTAAGATGAGAGACCCTGAGAACGAGGTTGGAATACTTTTAGTATGGTCACTTCAAGGTACCAAGGGAAGAACTTGCATAAATGTGGACAAATGGAGGTGTGTTGAGATTGAATAAATTTACTGATGTCTGGCCAAAAGTTCCATAAGGATAGTACTTTCACTTAATGTAATTTTCTCTAGGAAGACCTTGAAATATATTTTTGTAGACCATGTCATTTTTGTGTTGAGAAAATATTACCAGATATATTTGGTGCAAAAAGTACAGAAATCAAAACTTACAAAAATTACGCGGAATACTGCAGTCACGAGTATATTTTAAGAATTGAATGATAAGCCTTGACTGTAACTGTGCCTACATGTGTCTATAGTTTGTACTTCATTGCTGGAGCGTGGTGAAATCCAGGATGAGGGAGGTCTCGGTGGGATGGTGCGAACTCAAGCGTTGCGACAACTCTGTGCAATGAATCCCAGCTCTGCCCCTGTTGTACACTCTGAGGCACTCAGATTGTGTCGTATGCCTGGTCTTGCTGTGGCACTTATTCTTGACTTTGGTGTTGACAATAGTGGTAAGAGGTTGCTTAGTACGTTTGTTAATACTGTGTACATATACACATTTATTCTGAGCATGAATATAACGATTAATTAACAAGCCAGGGTAGACATTTTAAGTGCTATTAAGAAATATTTTTTGTGCATTATTTTAGCGAGGTCAAGGAAACTGGAGAACAAGTGCATAGAAAACATTCCATTTTTTTTTTGAACTTAAAACTCCAGCATAAAACAAAGTTAGGGATGTAATGTTAAAGCAAAACAGCTGTAGATGTTATGCTATATTGCACTTAGCAAATTCAACTTACAGTTTACAACTAATAATAAGTATTTTCTGTCTTGAAGGCTCTATGAGTTCGAGTGAACTAGTGGCATTTCTCAGCGGTCTTCTCCTGGGAGGAGATACAAAAGCCAGAAACTGGTTTTCGTCATTTGTCAGAATAGGGCAAAAGGTATGAAAATATTTGGCTTGGTTTTTTCATTTTTGACGACATCATTTTCAGATAACTTCATTAATCAATCCACTTTTAACACCAGTCCAACACGTCAATCCTGTCTTCCCTGAGAGGTCAGCTGCTGAAGGAGATGTCATCATTAGTTCCTAGTGGTGTAGAAAAAGGAATAAAGTCGAAGAATGGCAAATCAGGTGTTGAAGTTACCGTCCAGGAAACAGTCCCTGCACATGATGTCAGTCATCAAGATGAAGAAACTTTAGAGATACTTCAAGGTAATTTTTGGCAGCCAAATTTTTCATTTTGTGATCCTGTTGTGAGTGAACAATTTTTTTTTTCGAAACTAGAAAAACAAAGGTCAACGTGACACACCTCTTTTTACCTCAGCCAATCAGAGCTATGCAATTTAGGGGATATGGTAGCAACTAAAATTTTAGGTGATGCAAGTGTACAAACTGATTTCTTTTTTATTTTCCCAGCCATGGAGGTAAGCACAGATTATGAACTCACAGGAGAAAGTTCATCAACTCCTCAGATAGATATAGAAATAATTGAAACAGCAGAGATTCAAGATGAGGATGTGATTCAGGGAACTGCTTTACTTCGCCTGTATTGTGCTCTTAAAAGACTGGCAGGAATGAAGCTCAATCAACATGAGGCTGAGGCATTGCTCCGACTGGTGACATGTCATCCCCCTCCTACTGCCGCAGGAGTGAGGTTTGTCGTGGTTGGTCTATGTACGCTATTGGTCTGCTCTAACATAATGAGGTGAGTTGATGAGTTACAGAACTGCAGTTACATCAATTGAGGTCAACATGTGCATAAAATCTCCTGTGGTTTAGATGTTCTGCCTTGTGAGCATGGCAAAACATGGCAGTCAGTAAGGAGAATAAATAAATTGAACATGGCAGTGAAACTTAAAATGTTCTGATTGTTTTGTGGGTGTGAAGTCAGTGTGTTTGTAGGGGGAGAGGGCTTTGCAGTAGTGGTAATTTTTTTCTAGTCAACAAATAACATTTAAAAATCTAAAATGCTAGAAATATGCAAAGAAAAGTAACTGAGGTAGTGAGTCCTGGACATATACCTTAGAGAAGAGCCAACATGAATCCTATTTTAATGATAACATATTCAAATAGCACCCTAGGGCCTGTTTGCATGGAAGTGGGGGAACCCAGGTAGGTGGGGTGACTGGCCAGGCCATGGTTGAAAATAGCCCACATTTACATGTAACCTTACAACCCAGGCACACCGGAGTGAAGTTTCTAGATGCTGCTGCATGGTTGCTAAGCATGTAAACAGACTTGTGTGGCTCAACTTGTACTGTGGAATTTTACCAGAAAGGGAATGGAAGACTAACTCACTAATGAACTGTACAGATGAATTACGACCCTGGCTGGGCAGGCTGCGCCACCTTGAGATGTTTACATGGCAAAATGTGATCCCAGTTGACAGGCAGACCAGGTGACCAGCCTAGACCAGTTACTCCAACAATCATGTAAACACAATTAAGTAAAAATGAGAGATTATGTGAAGAGGCAGGTTACCCCACCTTGGTGGTTTACTTCACCTACCTGGGTTTCCCCCCCGCCCCCCACCCCCCCCCCTCAAAAAAAAAACCAGGTAAACAAGCCCTAATCTAGAGATCTAACTAAAGGTGTTTTACAAAGTGTCAAGCCTTAGTTCAAAACTTGTAAAATACAAATGCAACAATAAGAAAGCGAAGAAAATATAGCAATAAATTGTGTACAATGATTTATTGAACAATCAACTACTTAGTAACTAATAAAACAAAATTTAAAAAAATGTTCAAAAAGGTTAAGTTTTTCTTTTGACTTATTGCTTCAACAGTTCACCAGAGCATGAGGTAATGGCAACCCAGTGGATCAAGTGGCTCTCAAAGGAAGAAGCTCACTATGAAGCAGCAAGCGGTGTACATGCATCATTTGGAGAGATCCTTCTTCTGATAGCTATACATTTTCATGCCAGTCAAGTGGAGGCCATTGCTGACCTTGTGTGTTCTGTGCTTGGCATGAACATCAGGCTGGGTTCATTGACCAGAATGAAAACACTCTTTACTCAGGAGATATTTCCTGAAAAGGTTTGGCATTTCAAATATAGTTTTTTCTGATCATGGCCTTTCTACCAAACAATTAGATTACGAGCTCGAGATTTCTATTGCATGATAGTTGAGGAGGGCGCAGCCAGAGTCAACTATCATGCATAGAAATCGAGTATAAATCTATTGGTCATTCAAAACTTTATCTAAATCCTCTTCGCAGACACTTTGAAAACGCCAAGATGCATCCGTCATTGTGTTAACAAAGGCACACTGCTACGCAACTCACTAACTATCACAGAATAGTTAGTGAGTAGCGTGGCCAATCAGAGAACGGCANCATGATGAAAATGTTACTGTCAAAATAATTCAACATTGTTCTAGACTGAGTTTGTCCCTTCAATGGTTGCTTCTGCCAGTTGATGGCAATGATTGTAAGTTTTGGCTATGACAACTCTTAACACTTATTCTTTTCTGTTCTGTCAAACCAATAGGAGGAAGGAACAGCTTTCCGGATCCATGGTCTTCCTCTGGGACCCATGAGAAGGAGTTCAGTATATGTGGCAACTGAAATGTCATCTCGCCTCACATCCCAAATTTTGATGTTGTACTATGTTCTCACATATCAAGACTGTCTTCTGTCCAATATGAAGTCTTTAGGTAGGGTACTTAAAACAATACCAGGCACTTAGAGACCAGTGGGTGGATTATTAAAAGCTTTTTGATATCTTTAAATCTGATTTTTTTTTTCCATGAGTGATCAGTGTTTGACTTCTCCTTACATGATATACTGAATACCAACAACGTGCAATCTACCATGTGAAGCACAGGAAATTGCATTTGCTATCTTACCATCTATTTTAAAAGTCTTGAAGTGCTCTGACTTATAGATGAATCATTTTGTAATCCATCAAACATTTTCAATTGCATGCAATTGGTCTAAACGTATCACATGACCAAATATTCCCCAGCTAAAACTGCCCAATTTTTAAAACTGCACATGTTGCGAAAAATATTTGAAGGATAATAAACACAATAACCTCCATTTGACTTTGAAAACATGCTCGGATATTTGTCCTTGGACATTATCTGTTCCTCAAAGCTCACAGTTTTCCTCGAGTTACGCTCTCAGAAAACTGTTCACTTCTCGGAATGGATAATGTCCGCGGATAAATATCCGAGCATATTTTCGCACCAGATGGAGGCTATAGTTCATATAACCCCCAATCAATCCTAGAGCTCAAAGCAACACAACAAAAGCAATCAAAAGTAGCAAGAACATGGTTCTTTAGTATTATAATTATGATAATAAATTGATTCAGCTCCTTTTAATTAATGATTTCAGTCTCTAACAACATTCAGCCTCAGTGGTTATCACCCATGTTATTGTCACAAATTCCTATTAAACATCTGTTGGAGCAGGCCAGAAGTCGACGTCAAGAATTCAAAGGCCTTTATGCTCCCTTACTACAGCTGATCAACACCCATTTGCCACACCTGTGTCTGGTGGATGAATGGCTGAAACAAGAGGAAGTGTTCACTGCGCCAAGCCTGTCATCATCATCTCCATTGCCGAGTGTGTTGTGTTCACCTGCTCACTTACAGCAAGGTATACCTAACATATTGGGGAAGATGCCCCAAGAACAATCACATCTTTAATCCATTTAGAAGCGCAACTTTTAACTACTTGTCAAAGAAAGACTTGAGCTATGTGATCATATCACATGCTTTAAATAGAATGATTGCATTTTTTTAAAAAACTAGCAATACAACTGACAAACCTCCAGATTCCAGATTGGCTTCAAATTGGGAAGTTGATTATATAGCAGTTTTGTAGAGGGAGGAAACATGGAGAATTAGAAAATGATTTCAAAGTCACAAGCAAGCAAGCTGTTGTAAATAGCCATCTTTGTCAAACCATCCTTGCCAGTGTGAGTGAACATCAGTTTAGACTTTTTGAATGTTATCCAACAGCACTGCATTTACTGCCAGACAATCCGTCCCCAGCACTGCTGCTACTTAGAAGACTGTTACAACTAGAGCCAAGTGCCCTGATTGCTTATATGGATGTGTTGGTCCAGGCCCTGAGCAGATTGTTGGAGCCTGGGGTACCCCGACGGGTACAGACGCTTTGCTGTGAACTGTGGACAAAAATTAACACAGTTGTACCTCGCAAGTAAGATATGTGTAATTTTTTCAGTGAAGCATGATTCCCAGACCCGAAAGTAAACATATTGAGCCTTGCATTGCTTTTTAATGCTAAAAAGATTAGAATTAAAGTTGCTTGGGCTTGTTTATCAGATTGTGGTTGGCCACTGTGAACACACTATGTCCGGCAGAAACTCCCGTACCACACATTAGACCTCAGCTATACACAGATGAAGACATCATGAAGGATCCCCTGACTGTGCTGAGATGTGACAGAATGGTTTTCAGGTACATTTTTTATATAGAAAAAAAAAACTGACAGAAGGTAAAACAATTACAATGCAGATTAACAACTGCATCGCTAAATGGAGGTTGGGTGCCTGTGACATCCAGGAGCTTGCACTCTTGGCAGCCTGATCCTAGATGAAGACTGCTGCCATGGCTGGCACATCCTGCAAACTGAGCCATAAGCCCCCAGGCAGAAGGGGAGACAGGCACCTGCCACAGTGAATTAACAGTGGAAAGAGGGAGGGAAGGGAGGGGGAATGCTTGAAGACATGCTCCCATGCAAAACAATGCTCACTTTAAATGCTATGGATGTGAAGGCTGCCAACCCGTCTCGGTCTAGTAGGACATGGAATCCTGGTGCATGCACATATCAAGACACCGCTGACAACTACAGGAATGGAGGTGCTCTTTGTAGTTAACTCCATTAAATTGCATTTAACTGCATTTAGTAAGCTGTATCATCCCCTGCTTGTGGTATAAATTTATTAGTGTTTCACATTCTTTTGTTTCAGATGTCCACCTTTATTTGATCTTCTTGTGAGAGTGCTCATGGGATACTTGGCAGGTTCAAGGGCCCTTTTGAGTCAATACCTCCAAGCCCACCCAGCATCAAGAACAGAAGGGGTGGCTGTTGAACAGGAGCGAGAGGAACTGAAGGCAGCTCTTGTTACGGCACAGGAGAGTGCCGCTATTCAGATCCTGTTAGAAGTTTGTGTGAAAACACCTCAGGATCAGGTCTGTTGAAATAAACTTTTTCCCTCTGCTATAGAGTGGCTCTCAGATTAATGTCTACTAATAATAACTGGCTGTAAATATTGAGCAATTACAATACAATCCGGTGTTAGTCAAAATCATAAAAAATTCCCTCCATCAGACTGAAACGGTCCTTTGAAGAGTGAGTGGGTAGTCCAATCCACCTTTCAAAGAAGTATCAATCTTCATTTTAGTGCTTTTCAGTTAATCTGGTCAGATCTTTTTGGCAATACTTAAGCTTCAGATTACTCTTTCAAGGTAGAAATGTTTAATAGTTTTCCCTATACATGTATTTCCCAGAATAATTTGATGATTTCCATGTTTTCATTTGTCATCTGAACAATGTATCATATTTGTATCGATGGCACAACTGATGTCGGACTTCTCTCCACTGCAGGATCAGCCAGGGTGCAGTGGATCTGGTGTGTTACGTGAAATTCAATGCTGTGTGTGTTCACAGCTACATCAAATGTTTATTGCTGTTCCAGACATTGCAAAGCTTGTGCACTTTCAGGTATGTAAATTAAAATGATTTTCAGTGCTTTTTTGTTACTTTAAAAAGCAACTACAAAATAAAGCACAAAAAACCTAGCCAGGAATTTAACATTTTCTACAGGTAAAGGTTGTTATTCTACATTGATGATGTACAGATGTTGACGTACACTATATGAGATCCACATCACTGTCAGTGGTAATGCACCAAAGGTTGTTTCATTTTGAGGGACACAAAGGTTTCTTTCACTGAAATGTGTCACTCTTCCAAGTTAAAGTTGCTGGCTTGCTTGGTAATGATTGCACTCCAAGCTAGAATCAACGTAAATAGCTTACAAGCAGGCTCTCATGTGTTGGGGCAGGAGCAAAGTTGATGAGCAAAGTCGCAAAAGATGAGTCAGCGAGCGAAACGAGGTGGTGAAGGGCCCGACTCTTGCTTCTTTCGCTGACATTGATGATGAGAGCCTGCTGACAGGCTACAGCATAAACTGACATGTACATTGTTTTCCCTGCAGGGTTACCCTGTAGAAATTCTCCCAGTTACAGTGGCTGGCATTCCCTCCATGCACATCTGTTTAGATTTTATTCCCGAGCTTGTCAATCAACCACACATGGAAAAACAGGTATGGCCACCAGTAACAAGAATTGATGTTTTGAGTAGGGTTAAAAATTAAACAGTAATTGTTTTATTAACTCTTTATTTACTATTTTGTTGCAGTTGTTTGCAATACAGCTTGCTTCATATCTGTGTCTACAGTTCCCTCTCCCCAAAGCTATGGGTGTAGCCAGATACATTCTTAGCCGGCTCAGTTCTCTTTTGGCAACACTTCCTGCAAGTAAGCGTGCACCATTTTTCAGCCCTATCCTCCCAACCCTGGTCAGATTCTGTCGTGCATTCCCGCCATTGTGTGACGACGCTACAGGGTTCCTGCTGGAGCTTGGTCATGTGGCTGTATCCCATGCATCTGCATCTGCTGGCTTCACTTTAGGTATGTGCCATTGGTGCATCACACCTTGCAAGGTTGTCACATTGCAGGGTGGTAAAGGGAACTATGATCCATGCATTGTTGTTATTAGTTCGTTGGGTGATCAGCTAATTTGTACATTCATTTTTGCCTCTCAAAATAATGAGATAAAATAAATAATAAGCAGGTTTAATTCTTTCATGCCAGGTACTCCAGGATCTCTCTTACATCAACTGTCTTCCAAACAACAGCAGGAAACCTCTGAACAGGAAGATCATGGGTTCACAGATGACTCCTGGTCACCTAATGACTTAAAACTTGAAAATGAAACAGGCATCTTGGACAGTGAATTTGATAATACTGACGTTGGATTATGCCAAGCAATTGAAAAGGTGTTTCTGGATGTAACAAAGGTTGCAGTGGTGAGACAGCAGAACTGTGAGTGCTAGTTCTATCTACAACTGCTACACCACGTGTATGTGATCAACACAGAAACAGCACATATGTGCTCTCCATTCAAACAAAGAAAGGAGAATAAAACAATAACAGTCTATTCAAGCAGATTTCCATTGGAATGGTGCATATCATTTGACATTCAAACTAGTCCAGTTCTAATACAAATTGACTAAGCTATAAACAACTGGTTCTTCTTGTGTGCTTGATGGATGCACATTACAACTTAAGTGACCATTTCATAAGTGGATCAAAAAGAAACACCCTAAACATGCAGGAAGAAACTTTACCAAGTTCAAAGCAGTATGTAAATATATAATTTAAATGGCATTATTAACACTTAACTGCCAGAAATCATCTCACAATTCCAACACCAGATTCACCTTTGGGAAAACTTCTGCAGGACAGCTAATTAAGTGACAAGTACATTTTTTCTTATCTTCAGTACACCTTGAATATGCCTGACAGACAATTATATATGAATTGGTCACATTTATTTCCCACACCTAAGGTCATTTATAATACCCACACTCTCTGCTCTCTTTGTGCAAAGATGAAATACTGAATCCAAAATAAAAATGATAGAAAAATGGAAAAGAAAAGTTTATTTAAAGGGAGGGGTGTCCAGAAACTAACATTGATCACCAATGATAATTAGGCCCTTTGCAACTGAAAGCACTTGACAAAGGTTTTGGTCTTGCTCTGTAACAACTTTTTCCATACAAATCTCCTTTTAAGAAGAAGAGAAAGTTAATTTTTTAAAAAAATATTTTAACTGTCATCAATTATTCTTAAATCTTCTAGGACCGATGTTTTTCGGGAGGGTCACCGGCTATTAATTGCGTGTTCACCCTCACCGCTCTGCGCAGCGACTGCCATGCATTCATACTTCCTCGCTGCGTGCCCTTATTTTCATTTCAGTCTGGCCAATACCTTACTAGGTTGGCAGTAGTACACCTTCTTAGGGACACAGCCCATTATGCCGGCCTCTCCAATAAATCCCTTCAGGATCATAGTTTTGGCATCGACGCTGCCTCTACAGCAGCTGCTGCTGGTCTCCCAGACTGGTTAATTAAAGTTTTTGGCAGATGGTCTTCAGATTGTTACCAGCTGTACATCCATACACCTCAAAATGTCCTGTTGTCCACTGCTCCACGTATGGCCAGCATTCTCTTTTCTTAATTTGGCACTTCTTTTGCTTGGGGGGATACCTGCTCCGCAGGTATCAGTGGCAGTTAAGTCTTGCAGGGACTTCCCCAAGCTTAGTTTTCGCTAATTTAGTGGTGCTATTTAACGCTCTTTTATGCCTCTTCTTGTCCGATCGAGCACATGCCGGCANATCAGTGGCAGTTAAGTCTTGCAGGGACTTCCCCAAGCTTAGTTTTCGCTAATTTAGTGGTGCTATTTAATGCTCTTTTATGCCTCTTCTTGTCTGATCGAGCACATGCCAGCGGAGTCGGCTCGTAGTGCTGGGGAGATAAGTAAGGCTTGAGAACTGTCTACACTCTAGCACAATGCTGACCGGAGGTCAGCGCATTGTGCTGTTTAGAGTTAGGCTTCTAGGATCCAGTGCAGAATTAACCGCTGGGTAGATCAGTTTGGCATTTGATCACGCAATGGAAGTTCATGTGTCACACCAATTGCGGAGCGGTGTTTCCCCCTTTATGCCGTAGAACACGTGTTTTATTGCTTGTGATTGTCGGGGTATTTGAAGCATTACTCCCTTGGAACTGCAACATTAACTGTCATAAAATCTCATTCTTTAATGCCAGGGGCCTCAAACTTTGCCATTTTGATATTTTTGCTGTTGT